TTGAAGAAAAGGTCATTTAATATCAAAAAGTTTATTAATAAATGTTGAATATTTTATCTTCTAGATGTAGTTGTCGAGAGGGTTATCGATTATCAACCGATGGCAGAAGCTGTGATCAGGTTTTGGAAGGTTGTAAGGCAAGTTCAGATAAGCATTAGTAGTCTGTTTTTGGCATTAATCTTGCTGCATTTTTTAATGAGTAATAAAAACAGGTTGGAAACGGTGGCTGCCAGCACGAGTGTTACGATCAGCCGGACGGTGGAGTATTATGTGGTTGTCGAGAAGGTTATGAGTTAAACAGTGACCAAAAGTCATGTAAAGGTAAAAAATATTATTAAACTAAATTTTGCTGATGAAAACAATCTAAGTTTACTTTAATTTGTTTAATATTATCGTAAACAGGAAAATTTCATTTGCTTTTTTACCTTTTTGTGAACAGTTAAAAGTCTTATTTTGATATTGTGTGCTGATAATATTTTTTCTTGTTTTTGATTTATGTAGAACTATTTCAACTTTTAAAATTATTTTTCATAAGAAGACTGTTAAAGCTGCAGAGCTGTAATCAAACTTGACATTTCTTTTTTTCTTCTTAAGTATTCCGCTGTAGAATCTGGGTTATTTTTGAGGAATAAATTTTAGTGGAAACTTCTCTGAGTACAATAAACAAGACACACTGTTGTTTTATGAGTTTATATTTTTTTGTACGTTACTATATGATACGGAATACTACTGAATGTTAACTGTAATAATAAAATACAATCAGATATCGACGAGTGCAAATTTAAAAATGGTGGTTGTGAGCAGTTATGCGAAAATCTTCCCGGTTCTTTTCATTGCTCTTGTAACAGTGGCTACATTTTGATTTATGACGGAAAACGTTGTGAAGGTAATTTTCTGTAAAATAGGTTTTATATTTGTTCAAAATTATGCGTTTTTTAGGTTAACTTTTTTAAAATTATATTATACACAATTTTTAAGCAGAAAAGACAACAAAAAAAAAATTTTTTTTGAAAATTCTAAGATTATCAAAAAATGTGGTACATTTTAGTTTTCAAAAACTAATGTTTACTGTTGGCATTAATCTAAAAAAATCTTTTTTTTTTATTTTTTAAACGACATATCTTTTACAAATTCGCAGATATTAATGAATGTGTGGCAAATAACGCCGGGTGTGAACACGATTGTGTAAATCTGCCAGGCGGATATAGCTGTAAATGTAATCCTGGTTACACCCTCTCGGTTGATCGGCATAGTTGTGAAGGCATAAGTTTTTATTTTTACTCAATTGAAACGACCCTACAAAGTCAGTTTAATTAATACCAGTAGAATCAATTTAAAAAAAACAACTATGAATTAACAATAAAATAACAGCATAGTTATTTTTAAGGTTTATCCCACTGAAGTTTCACTTTAAGTTATAATTCCTATTATAAAGTAAATATTTTTAAAATTAAAACTGCAGCTCAGCAGTTATTTCTTAACAGCATATATAAATGTTTTGCCTGGTTAACTAACTTTTTACTGACATAAGCCTGAAACTGCTGCAGATATGAGGAGATAGTTTAAGGTTTGGAGCACTGGTTTTAGATGGTGAAAAATGAGAAGAACCGGGATTTAAAGAGACTATGGAAATCTTATAATGTTCAACTTCTTCAACGGAATACTGCTATTTTTTTGCCACAATTTTAGTGTTATAATTTTTACTAAAATTACGAAAAAAAAGTTTTTGTTTTTATTTTCAAGCGAATCTGGAAAGAGACGTCCGCGTAGACTGTCAATTTTTTTGGAAAAAAATATATCGTTTATAGCTGCAGCAAATTACGAAGAAGATAGACTGGCAGTATAAAATTGAATTTGTTGATAACTTTTAGATGAAAATGAGTGTTTGATGAACAACGGAAACTGTAGTCAGATATGCAGAAATGAGCCTGGATCTTATCACTGTGAATGTGCTCACGGTTATGCTTTAGCAGACGATCGCCGTAATTGTGTTGGTAAGCTGCTTTTTTATGATTTACTCAGTCATTGGCATGCATATACAGTGTGTCCAGGAAGTAGATCAAGCCTATTTATGTACTACCGTTTATTTTGACAGATTTTGAAAGTAACATCTAGTAAATTGTTTTGCAACTAAAATGCTACATTTGTATCTTATACAAGATAGGCTACCAAAAAATTGTTCAAAAATGAAATTTAACTATAGAAAACTAGATGGCACTTCAAGCTAAGAAACTAATAGTGACAGTTTGGGAGACTGAAAGTGTCAACTTTTTTTTACAGCGATGTAATAAATTGTGTTTTAAGAAGTCCTTGTATGAAATAAAGTTTTTAGATAAAACCCAAACTTTTTCAATTTTTTTAGACTGCATGTATACAGTAATAGACCTATAATTTTAGCAACTAACAGAGTGCGGTGTCAGTAGCGCTCACATAAATTTGCTTTCGAATTATAGCACTAACAAAAAAATTTGTTGTCTAACAGTTTTTAAGAGACAATAACCAATCCTCTACTACTTCAGATGAAATGTTTCAACCTTTATCAAATGATATCACTATTTGCTGGACATTCTGTAGATTACATAGACGCAAGTGTAAGATGTTTAAACAGTATCTAAGGCTTTTTAGCTTTACATCGTTATGGAATATCACAGCACGTGGATGGAAGTAGGTTGAATGGTCGTACACCATCTCGTGCCTGTCGGGGGAGGCCACTAGTGATTTGTTATAAGCGGCTGATGTTTAGTTAGTTTAGAGAATACCGTTATTGGCTGCTCAGCTTTTAACGCACAATCGCTAACTTGGCGTCTACACGAATCTAAATTTAGTCAAAAAAGTTTCTTTGACTGGTTATTACAGTATACATAAAATAACACTTGCTTTACCTTCTTTTGCTCTGTTTTATATGAAAAATCCTGTCTCTCTACTCGCTATTTTCCTCTTTACTCTTCATCTGCTATAGCTTTCTTTTTATTTACAGCTACTGTACTCTTTCTTACTTTACTTTTGCGCTAGAATTCAAGAAAGAATGTTAATTAGCCAAAAAGCGAAGTGTAGACTTTTCTGACATTTGATCAAGAAATAGTGTTAATTGATAAGTTTTTTCTTTGGATAGATGACTTCAAATAAATTAACTTCACAGTTTGTGCACGTTGCTACTTAGGTGCCAAAGCGCTTTGATATTTATTTCAAATCTCAACGTGTAATATGCAAGTTGATGCATGTAAAATGCGACTTTTAATTTCAGACACACTACTTGATGAAAAGCAGCTTGATGTAGCTGATGCTGTCAACTATGAGTTTTTACCGCTCAAGGGTTTACCAGCTCAAGATGGTGTACGAATAACACAACTACGAGATTTGGGAGCTATGAAATTGGTGCATAATGATGCCAGACGTTAGTGTAACTTTGATTTGAGCGATTCCAATAATTTTGTCTTTTCTTTTCGTTTGCAGTACTTAAGTTAGTTTGTTTTTTTTGCTACATATAAAAATTAGAGAAACTATTTAAGTGCCAAAAAGAAATTAATTTTCTTGTCAAAATTTTTTAATTTTTTGTGTAGTGCATTTTTTTGCTAAATTTATAAATAAACCTGAGGAAGGTTGTAAAAGTTTTTGTATTTTGATTAGTTCAATTTCGGGACTAAAATAACACAGATGAAGGCAAAGTGTTTATTCATATAACTGTCTGCTGAAAATCACAGGAATTAAATTTCAAATTCTTGTGATTTAGTGCTGAAGTTAGGTATGCAAATTCACGCTTGGAAAACTGTTCTGCTGCTTATTCATTTTCCTCTGACATCTTCTCATACCTGAGTTCGTAAAATCCTGGTCAGGAAAACATTTATTTTGTTTTAGTATGCGAATATGGACGCTTTGGGCCGAATTGTCAGTACAGATGCAGAGACTGTAAAAATGGAGGTATACCCCTTATTTCTGAAATACTAAGTTTAATGGATTTGAAGTTATTTAAATTATATTAAATCAGAAAAAATTGGTAGTTTGAAACTAAAAAGAATTAAAAAAAGACGTTGCATTTATTTCTTTGCCTTGTTTTTAGCAAGATGTAATCGTGAGAAGACCGGATGCAAGTGTTTACCCGGTTTTACAAACACACTCTGTGAAGATCCATGTCCGGAAGGCACCTGGGGTGATGGATGTAGTCAAAATTGCGCCTGTAATGGTGAGACCTGTCACCACATTACCGGTGTTTGTACTTGTCCACCAGGAGCAACATGTATCGACGATTGTCCTGCTGGTAAGGCAAAATAAGATTTTTAGAATCTTTACAATTTTTTGTCGGCTGCTTACCTTTTACCGCTAGGACTGGACGGTTCTAACTAGTATTTCCTAAGAGCATTCAACAATTGGGGAAGCATTGGAAATTGCTATCTGTCTTATAGCTTTTTAATAATTTTTAACTACTTTCACTGTTTTAATTTCAGGTTTTTACGGAACAAAATGTGAACTACCTTGCTTGATGTCCTGCAGTACAGGAAAATGCGATAAAACATTTGGCTACTGCGTATGTCCGCCAGGGCTTTATGGAGAACATTGTGATAAAAAATGTCCACCATTTACGTATGGACCAAACTGTCGGTTCACTTGTAAATGTGACAAAGAGAAATCAGTTGGATGTGATAGGAAGGTAACCATCTAAACTACTTTTTTTAAGAGGTAATTTGTTATTTCAAGTGTCGCTTTTTATTGGTTTCTGTTTAGTTTGTAAACTGATAATGACTGTTTAGACTGGTTTATGTAACTGCAACAATGGTTTTTATGGTACTTCTTGTCAAATGAATTGCCCGCCAGGCACGTATGGTCCATCTTGTAGCAAAAAATGTCAGTGTAAAAAAGGTTTAACTTGTGATTCTGCATCAGGTGAATGTAGTGAAAAATGTCAACCTGGATATACGGGACCGAAATGCGATTTAGGTACTGTTTTGAACAACTTTATTTTAAACACAAAGTCTGTCTTGTTTTAAAAGGGACGGTTGCAGCACTACTATAACGTCTACTACCAGATAGTTATCGAGATTTTTCAAAACAAACTTATTTACTTTTTTGTTAAGATGCTCTAAATTTCTGCTTTTACTCAACTGTAGTTATTTTTAATTTAGCATTTACTAAAAACGTTTCGGAGCTTTACCTTCAAATAGGTCGTCTTTGTTGTGACCTACCGGATGTTGCTAATAAACAGAATAGTAATTCAGATTAGCAAGACTGTTGATAATTAATTGTTAGCATTTACGGCAACGTTTGAAGCATTGTCTATTTTTTTTGCCCCTACTAAAGTTATATTAACTAAATCTGTTTTCAGTATTCTTCCGCAGCAAATAACGTTTTAAAATGCGGAACACTTGAGCAGACTTTATTTATTAGTGCATTTTTCCTTTTTGGTAAGGTTTTAGAATCAATTAATACGGTCAATGAAGCAGTAAAATTTAGCTAGTGATAAAAATAGTGTAAAAGTTTTGCACTTAATTTTTTTTTTTTTTGATGGCTAAAAAATAAGCATGTTTTATTGTCTATATTGGTGAATTTGTTAAACAGTAGTTTTTCCCTTTCTCAAATTTCACCTTTAATTTTATAACTAAAAAAAAGCAATTTTTTCATTATTGTTGTACTGCATTTCTTCTTTTGTTTCTCTTTTTATTTTATTTTTCTATTTATTTCTTCGTGATTTTTATACCATTGATGTAGTGCTTGCAGTTTTTTGTTTTAGATTTAAAGTTGCGTATTTTTAGCAGTTCTAGTTCAACTAAATTGAGTGAACATTTAGTTTAAAGCACCTTAGAATGAAAAGGGAAGCAAAATATAGCACAGCGGTATCAACTGATAATTTAAAGCAGAAATGAGGCCCAAAAGATGCAATGATGAGTTTTTTAGCTTGTCCAGTGGGAACATATGGTTATAATTGTGCACAAAAATGTTCTTGTCCTGGTGACGAACCAAAATTTTGTCATCACATTACCGGCACTTGCACCTGTATGCCTGGATTTTTTGGTTCATACTGCAATCAGAGTAAGATGATTTTTTTTTTTT